AAATCATTTCTGCAAAGGTAGGGGAAAATGCCCAATGCATCATTTACTGAGGTGCATTACCCACTAAGTCTGACAGCAGGTGGAGCCAGATGTTTGTTCCTCTATGCTACAAAGTCAACCCAATGTTTGAAGGTACTCCTGAGCTAGACAGGTACCCTAATCCTCATGAAACAGTAAGGTCAATCATTAACAGACAGCCACTGAGAGTCACAGTCTCAACAGTCAAGAAGTATTCTCTAGTATCTCGGATTTTTTAATGTTAATGTTTAATGCTCACACTAAGATAATTGAAGATAAAGTACTTAGATGCTCCTATATTCTGGAAATAATTATGACAAAATCTCAAAGGCAATTCATAATACAAAGTATAAAACTGATAAACTTCACAATTATTTACAGTATTATTAAAAGTTGAATAAGTGATCATTTTGGGGTATGTTAACCGTAAGTTTATCCCTCTCTGAAATTGCTTCATAATAGTGAGATCATTATCCTTAGAGTATCATCCAGAGTAAATTTCTGTCAAGTAAAATACCAGTTTTCATGAATTACTCAGCAATAATTTCAGCTTTCTTTTCATTAAATATACTACAATGCTGATTAAAATATCCTTCTTTAATACAAAAATACTTATGTTCTTAGCTTTCTTGATGCTTTAAACATATAAAGATATTTAAAAGTAAATCCAACTTACTTTGGAGTAGCTGATACCATTAAAATCAGTCAGGAAAAATAGGATAAAATAAATTAACATCACAATATAGTAGCTCCTGATAAAAACAGGATAAGAGGATATCTCTGTATAATAAGCACTTACCATATAAATAAAATGACAAATTATCCCATTTCTTACATTTGAAGTAACCCTACTTAGTATAGTATCATCCCCTAAAGCAGCATTTTCTATGATATAGTAAACTTAATTATTCTGACAACATCTTTAAATTGCCATTCTGTTATCAGATTATCCAAAAATAAATCACTCAGGTAACAACCTGTCAACATCATTCATGGCAGGTTAGAATAGATCTATTGTGCCTTCCTAACCATCTCTAGACAATGTTATGTTGACTATTTCTCATGGCTGTAAGAGACTGTCATTCAATAAAGGAAACATGAAAAGCCTGAAATGTATACTGTGAATTGCAAATGACATTCAGTAAAGAAGGCATATAGCAATCAGGTGGCCTACAGATTCGGAGGGCCCATGCAGGTACTGGATTCGAGAGCTTTGACAGGATCCCTGAAGCGTTACACTCTCAATGAAAAATGCAAGGATTTTAAAATCTGCTCTGCAGAGGCAGACACACATAATATGTTTCACCCTTGGTTCCACATGGAGGAAAAATATGCTGCCCCTGAGAATTCTGGGCCATGAACTAGAACATGCAATGTCCAAAAATACCACATAACAAATTTTAATTTAAATTAGACAAGGGTTGCTAGGAACCTAGAAGCATATGCTCAATCTCAGGCTCAGGGGAAGTAAAGCAAAGCCCAAGGCCAAATCAGGCAACTTTAATATCTTATGAGAATAATCATGCTCTTTGTTTATGTACTGTCTGTGGCTTCTTTCATGCTGGAGCAGCAGAGTTCAGCAGCATGACCCACAAAGCCATCTAACCCTTTACAAAAAAAAATTTGCTTACCCTTAGTATTGAATGATGATGATAATGTCATTTGTGTTTGAAAACAATTAAAACAGTAAAGTGGAAGCTGCACAAAGAGTGAAAGTACTGACTGACTTTAGATTTAGTTAAGAATTTACTTTTAAAACTTCAACAAAAGTTCCTGGACATGGTGGGCACACACCTGTAATCCCTGTGACTCAGGAGGCTGAAGCAGAAGGATCTCAAGTTCAAGGGCAACCTCAGCAACTTAACAAGCCTGATGAATCTTTCCATTCTCCTCAGGGAAGACATATAAAGCAAAAGGAAAATGTGAGGGAGACGGGTAGGGTGAAATATAAAGAAAATTATATTTCCAGAGAAACCAGGAGCATAAAAATTAAAAAAAAAAAACAATAAAACCCTACAAATTCTAGGTTAAGTATGCAAAAAAGTAAGGGAAACCAAGACAGCTAGATAAGGATGCCACAACAACGTAGAAAGGAAGATGAGAAACAATGGAGAAAACCATGGTGACAGAGCTACCAAATTACCACACTTATCCAACAGAAGCAGGGGAGGCTAAAGATAAGACCTATAATTAAAAACAAAGAGAAAGCAAGCAGAGTGACTTTTAAAACTATAAAATGTACAAAAAATACACTAAAAACAGATGGAAATTACAAAATAAAATCTAACTTTTCTGTATATGAGACATAAATTTAATAAAACAAAGTGATTCTGAGGCACTAAATAGTAGATATATTAGTAAAGGAATGGACAAAGGTACACCAAGAAAAGACTGACAAAGCAGGGGCATTATATGAATATCAGATATACCAGAACTCAGATCAAAAAGCATTAAGCAAGAAAATCACGTCAAAACGCAACAGGATACAATTCACAATAAACACATAAGTTATTAATATCTGTAGATAACACCAACTTCAATAAAGCATAAATTAAAGAACATACAAGGAGAAACAGACAGAAATAGGCTAATATTTTAAGACTTTCAGAAAAAGATCAAGCACAAAAAGTATTACAGAACCTATACAATATAAGCAATAAAGTAGATTACGTATGTACCTATTGACCTGCATGATGTTACAGGATTTGCCTTCTTTTCAAGAACCTATGGAATGTTTATGAAAATTGAGCCACACATAAATTTCACTACATTACAAAAAAGTAGAACTAATACCTAAAATATTCCTTAAATACTATAATAAAACCAAAATACAGTATATCAGAAAACAAAACAGCCCTTCTCTGAAAAAAGTTTGTAATTTTTTGGGGGGAGTGGGGTACTGGGAATTGAACTCAGGGGTACACTGAGCCACGTCTCTAGCCCTATTTTGTATTTTATTTAAAGATAGGGTTTCACTGAATTGCTTAGCGCCTCACAGTTGCTGAGGCTGGCTTTGAACTCAAGATTCTCCTGTCTCAGCCTCCTGAGCCACTGGGATTACAGGTGTGCGCCACTGCACCTGGCTATAATTCTCGACTAACAACTCAACTCCCAGGCTCACCTGAAAAATCAGAGTAACTCAACTGTGTTTGCTTCAGGGTCATCATGAGCCTGTCATGACAATAATATAAGCAAACTCAGGCAATGCAGCTCTGCTTATTAATCTTTACACTCCAACACACTCCCATAAGTACAGGTTCTCTTTTGATCACTTCTATTTTCTCAGTACTTAGGAAGTAAGATCATTAGCTGAAAGTGGTGATAAAGAAGAAAATGCTGGAAGTTTGAAGAGAAAGGAAAATGTGTATTTCTCCAGAAGAGTTGGATGACCAAAGTAGACTAAAAAGACTTTCAGACATTGTGAAGGGCCAACTTGAGAAAGTGGAAAAAGTGAGAAGAGGCTCATGGACTAAAGGCTCTAGAAAGGCCCAAAACCTGTAAGTCTGTGAGTGCTAGAAGGGGGAAGCTGGTAGTGCTTGAAAGGGAAGACATCTGAAGTAGACAGCATGGGACCTGTAGGTTCTGGAATGACAAGGTCAAGAGTATGGCATAGGGAAAAAAAAAAATGGATCAAGTAGAATGGAAAACAAGAGCTTTAGGATAGAGATCAATAAAGTAAGAGACTACTGGAAGAAATATTTATGTGGATATTTTTAAATCATAAAAATATTTGATTTATATATGCTGGACAGAGTGACAGTGAGCCAGAAACTCGATTCTTCAAGATATAAAACAAAGTGATCTGAGAAGCAAAAGATGAGTGCAAAAAGGCAAGGTAAGGGGTTGGGGTTGGAGCTCAGTGGTAGAGCGTTTGCCTAGCATGTGTGAGGCACTGGGTTCAATACTCAGTAGTAAATAAATAAATAAAACAAAGGTATTTTGTCCATCTACAACAGGAAGGAAGGGAGGGAGGGAGGAAGGAAGGAAGGAAGGGGTTTAGGGCCTGGCAACACAAGATTCAAAGCCAGCTGATTTACAGGAGGAGAGATTGAGAACAGAGTGGAAATGATAAGAGAGACTAAGAAGAATACATTCCCCACTTTCAACCCAATTGCACTGAGGACATAGAAGTAAAACAGTCATCACCTAAAAGAACTGCAGGGGAAACTGGGAAGAGGAGTCTTCCTCTGAGCACAACAGAAGCCTGCAAATGAGTGTTCTAACACTGCACAGAAACTCTTTAATCAGATACATTTGTACAAAAAAAAAAAATTCAAGTACTTGAGGTTCATTACACTGGCTAGAATCAGAAACGGAGTATGAGCTGAACCTAAATAGCAACCACAAGGTACATATTTGTAAACAAATTTAAAAACATTTTTTAAAAAAAGGTTACCACTGCTTGAAAGTGCCATAAAAATTGCAATAGAAAACAGAAAAGCAAAAAAAAAAAAAAATCTAGGTTTATAGTACAGAAAGTCACGTGAAGATTGGCCTAGTCACCTTCATAGACCTGATAATAATCTCTAAGAAACCAGCACAGTATACTTGGGAAGCTTACTTTAAAGGAGTAATATATACATACAGATATAGCAATAAGATTAGGAACAGAGGGCTGAAAAATGAAAAGTCCTGAAATCATGGAATGCATAGTAAAAAGATTAGGCTACTTTCATTCTCTGTTCATATATAAAATCCAAGGAAATAGCACCATCTACTGGGATCTCTCATATTTAAAAAATATTTTGAGATTTTGGGAAATTAGAATAGTGTGTAACAACTTTCCTCATTTGGCTAAGAAGATAAACTAAAATAGTAAAGGACAAAATCTAAAACAATTTAAAAGGTTATATTTAAAAAATCATTAATTCTCAGCTTATAATTCCAATCTCAAATCACCATTTTGACTAAATTCATATGAAGATTTTATTTAAAATAATATTCTCAACCAATAAAAAAATTACATTTTTAAAGAAACTCACAGATATGGTATTCCTGTATGCTGCTTGTATAACCATATATTGCAGAATATCCAAATATTATGATCATGACAACATCTTTACTATCCAGCTCCATAATATGTGCTGAATGTCCCTCCACAGCATACTGCTGACCATGTCCAAGAACGGTAGGAGTTTTTGTACTCCATGACTGACTAGGTATGTTAAAAACCCATAATTCATCTGTGACATTGCCATCCTTTGTTTCAATTCTGCCTCCATACATAAAGATGTTTTCCTGTAAATTAAAATACATATGTTAATAGACAAAATAGATAAGTCTCAGCAATACACATTAATTAAAAACAAAGACTACAATTAAACATTACATTTTATTAACTATTCACACATCTATAAGGCATAGTTATTATTTGTAAAACGTCAAGTGAGGAACACACAAATAATGATAACTAAAGTTTTCACACACAAAAGGAGGGTATGTATCTTGCTTTTGAGAAGTTACTTTAAGGCATTTTATTTTAAATGGTTGTACTATATGATCAATTAACCATATTTTAAATTATCCTACAGGATAATTAAGTTCAAAGTTCTCAGAATGAAAAATGCAGCCAACTGATCAGAACCTTAAAATTAAGGGTATAGTAGCTCTATAACTAAGAATAATTTATTCCTCACATACAACAGGAAAGTAACACACTAAGTTGTTCATTTCATTACTCAGTCTTGGAAGCTTTGAATGATCAGAACCCCCACTTATTAAACTTGAATTTTACCATCTATTTGTACTGCTGTATGCTCTTCTGGATTATTCACTGTTTACACTGAGTACTATTCACCAAAAAAGATCACATTTGTACATAATGTAGAATACACTTTCATTAACATTTTCTCATGACTATTGGAAAATATTCATACCTTCGATTCACTCATGGTAATTTTTACAGCACTTACAAATAATTTCACTTACATATAAATGACATATAAATCATCACTATTTCAACAAACTAGGAATAAAATAGAAGGAAACTTATTCAATCTGATAAAGGGAATCTAAGGAAAACACAGCAAAATCTATGCTGAATGGTGAAATATTGACGCTTTGCATTAAGATCAGGAATAAGACCAAGAGGCCCATTTTTTACTACTTCTACTCAACAAGTGCTGGACAATAGTCATAGCTAGGACAAACAGGGGAAAACTACTAAAGGCATCCAGATTAGAACTGAAATTGAAAAAGTAAAATTTCTATCTGCAGATGTTATGATCTCATATGTACGAATCCTAAAAAATGAAAAGAGCTAACTAATTATATTGCAGGATATAAGATCAATTATAAAAATATATTGTATTTCTATATGTTTGCAGTGAACCATGCAAAAAATAAAATAAGGAAAACAATCCCATTCATAACAGTGTAAATTTTAGAAAAATACTTAAGAATAAATTTAACATAACAATTTCTAAACTTCAAAAGTTACAAAAATTTAGTGAACAACTTTTAAAAGATCTAAATAAACAGAAAGATATTCAATGTTTAGGGATCAGAAGATTTAGCATTAAGATAACAATACTCTCCAAATCTATCTACAGATCCAACACAAGTCCTGTCCAAACTTCAGCTGCCTTCTTCATAGAAATCAACAAATTGATTCTAAAATTCTTATGGAATTGCAAGAGATATGGAACAATAATCCTGTAAAAGAAGAACAAAATTGGAGGACTCACACTTCCTGGAAACTTATAAAAGCAAAAGTAATCAAGATAATGTTGTATTGGCATAAATAAATGGAATAGAACTGAAAGTCCAGAAATAAACTGATAAATCTGTGTCTGGCTGATTTTTGACAAGAAGGCCAAGACCATTCAAAGGGGAAGGAACAGTACCTTCAACAAATAATGCTAGGAAAATAGAAAGCCGCATAAAAATGAATGAAGCTGAACCCTTAATGGCCACCATATTTTAAAAAAAAAACAAACTTAACCCTAAATGGATGAAAGAACTAAATTTAAGAACCAAAACTATAAAACTCTCAAAAGAACAAAATCTTTATGACCTGGGATTTGACAATAGGTTGATATGATAACAAAATCACAAAGAACTACTAAAAAAGAAAAACATAATTGGACTTTATCAAAATAAAACCCTTTTGCAGTCAAATAACACCATCAAGATCATGAAAACAATTCACAGAATGGGAGAAAATATTCATATATCTGATACAGGGAATATTCATATATCTGATATCTAAATGTCCATCGACTAATGAATGGATATACAAAATGTGATATTTTCATACAGGGAAATATTATCCAGTAATAAAAAGTAACAAAGTACTGATATATATGCTACAACACGGTTAAACCTTGTAAATTATCATGCAAAGTAAAACATGCCAATCATAAGTCACATGATATATGATATCATTCATACAAAATGGACAATAAACTAACCTCTAGAAATAGAAAAAAGATTTATGATTGCTTAAAGACTATGGAGAATAAACAAATTGAGGGAACAGTTACAGGGTATAAGGTTGCTTTTTGAAGTGATAAAAATGTTATAAAATTGATTACACAAGTCTACTGAGACATTACACAAATCTACAAGAGACGGTTGCACAACTCTGAATATACTAAAATCACTGAATTTTATATTTAAAAGTGAATTATATATCAATTATTTCAGTAAAGCTGTTACAAAAAGGAAATAATGCAAAAACCAAAACCCAGAACTAAAAGCAGACAAAGAGACATATATATGTATGTATGTATATAAATATATATAATAAACATACATATAAAGTAATATTTTATTTTAAAAACATGCATAGAAAAAATAGCACTTTGTTTTTTATATTACTCCTGTATTTTTCAAAAATTTTGCCTAAGTACAGAAAAAATTAATTCTGAACTGAAAGGCCTAATCAAAGACCACAAAACATATCTTTTCCAGTTCAAAATAGATGCCAGAAAATTATCTTGTCTTATTAATCATGTTAAATTCATGAATCCCACAAATATATAAAAACAAATGATTCAAAAGCAACCTCTATCAAGATACTAATATTTTTTATTGGTATAATACTCTACCCTAAAATTTACATGAAATTTTAAGGGATCCTAAATAGCTAAAGCACAATCTTGAAAACACAAAAACAAGTTGGAAGTCTCAATAGTTTCTGTCTTTAAAACTTACTACAAAACTATGGTAATTAAAACAGTGTGGTAATACCATCAAGTCAAACATGTATCAAAGAAGAGAATAAAGGGCCCAAAAATAAGCCCCCACATATATGGTCAAATGATTTTTGACCAGGGTGCCAAGACCATTTAAAGAGAAAAGAATATTCTTTTCAACATCATTCTTTTCAATGATGCTAGGAAAACCAGCTACTCACACACACAGAAATGAAACTAGACCCTTACCTAATACCACACACAAAATTAACTCATAATGAAATGAAGACCTAAACATAAGAACAAAAATTTTAAAACTCTTAAAGAAAAATCTTAATATGCTGGATTTGGCAAAGATTTATTTTATATCACACAAAAAGAAAAAATAGATAAATTAAACTACATCAAAATCACAAAACTAAGTTAAAGATATAGCTCAGAGGGCTGGGGATGTGGCTCAAGCGGTAGCGCACTCACATGGCATGCGTGGGGCGCTGGGTTTGATCCTCAGCACCACATAAAAATAAAATAAAGATGTTGTGTCCACCGAAAACTAAAAAAAATAAATATTAAAAAAAAAAGATACAGCTCAGTGGTAAAGAATATGCTTAGCATGGACAAAGCCCTGAGTTCAAATCCCAGCACCATTACAAAAAATGCATCAAAGGACACTGTCAACAGAGCAAAAAGACACATCACAGGAGAGGAGAAACTATTTGCAATCATATCTGTTAAGGGGTTAATATCATAAGAAAAACTCCTAAAACTAAAGGACAAAAAATACTTATTAAAAAATTGCAAAAGACTTGAATTTATATTTATATATCTTTTTTTCTCAAAGAAGATATATAAATGATCAATAAGCTCTTAAAAACTACACATCACCGTTATTCTGTAAACACAAATCAAAAGCACAAAGAGATAACACTTTTTACTCATTAAGGAGCCTATTATTAAAAAACAAAACTGGAAAATATTAAGTGTTATGAAAGCTGTGGACAAACTGGAACCCATGTTCACTGCTGGTGGGAATGTAAAATGTGCAGCCACTGTAGAAAACAATATGGCAATGCCTGAAAAAGTTACCTGAAAGAATTACCATGTGATCCAGGAATTCCACTTCTGGGCATACACCCAGAAGTACCGAAAGCAGAGACTCAGTTGTAGGTACACATATGTTAATCTCAAAAGTCAACAAGTGGGAGCAATCTAAAAGTCTATCAACATACAGATGAATTTTAAAATATGTGGTTGTTATATGTATGTATATGTGTGTGCACATGTGTATGTGTGTGTATATATGTATATATATACATATATATTAGTATTATTATATATACATATATCAAAATATTATTCAGTTTTTTAAAAGGGCATTCTGATACACACTACAGCATGGATAAATGCTGAATATATTATGTTCAAGGAACTAAGCCAATAACAAAAGGATAAATGCTATGTATTTCCACTTGCATGAGGTACCTGAAATAGTCAAATTCACACAGACACAAAGTAGACTGCTAGTTTCTAAGGGTTGGGGGAAGGGGAGAATGAAGAGTTATTGCTTCAATTTTGCAAGATGAATAAAGTACTAGAGACAATGATGGTGATAGTTACACAATGATGTGAATGTACTTAATACTACTCTACATTTCAAAATACTTAAAATAGCCAACTTTATGTTTTATGTATTTTACCACAATTTTTAAAAAGTGATTAATCTGATGATTAGACATAAAGCCAGGTATAAAACTCAATCCTTATTTCTTTACATGTTCAAATGTATTAAAAATCTACTCTTTTCCTAAAATAATATAAGTCCAAGACATCTTAAATAATAGTGATCCATTATGATTCTACTATCCTCATTAGATATTTGAAATAAATCTGAATTTTGAGACTTTCTACTCTAAGGTAAATTCTGAGAAAAAAAAATTTAACTTAAAAAGCAGAGCCATACCTGATATAAAGCAAGAGAATGTCCATATCTCTGAAGAGGTCCCCTTGACAGAGTTCCTACATTCCATATACTGCTTTCTAAATTGTAACTAAAAATAAGAAAATAAAATAACTTCTTAAATTAAGATTGATTTTCAGTTTTATGACTTGCATATGCTTTTCTTCATTTGTATCTAAATTCTCATAAAACTAAAAAATAATTACAGTAAACTCATAATTTCAAATGCCATATTAAAAATTTTTAATAAAAACTTCAGTCAAGAAATACCTACTCTAAATTAGATTCATTCACTTAAATGTATATAAACTTGAGTAGAATATTCAATACTAAAATTAATTTGTCTAGTTACCTTTAGCAATTTCAACCAATTAACCTAAAAAATAGTAAGTTATTCTATATTTTTAAATTTAAAAAGCCAGCTTTCTTGGAAGTACATGAAAATTCCATTTTTACAATAGGCATTTACTTTAGAAATTCACATTACTCTTCATACATGCTTAAGTTAGCTTATGAATTAACCAAGAAGCATATATTTCCTTGCAAAAATATACTTTGCTCACTGATAACTTTTTGAATTCTGTAAAATAAGTACAGTAGTATAAACTCAAACCTTTTTTTTTTTGGTGGTGGTACTGGCAGTTTAACTCAGAAGTTTTCTACCACTGAGCTGCTACATTTCCTTTTTTTAAATTCTGAGTCAGGGTCTTGCTCAGTTGCCCAGGCTGGCTTCAAACTTCCCTTTTCAACTCCCCAAGTAGCAGGGATTATAGGCATGTGCCACCATACCTGGCTTACCCTCAAATTTTGATTTGCCAACACATATGAGAGGAAGCACCAAGCCAAGAAACAGGGTATTCCTTCAAAAAGATCAATATAAACTGTTCTCTCTAACTCATCAGGCAAAGCAAAAAACTGTCCCTTCACAAGAAAGGTTACCAAAATGGTTTTCAGCATTGTTTCCTAGTTTGAATTACAAGATAAGACATAAATGACAAAATATAGCTCCCACAGAGACTTACCACCAAATCTACCTGCCTATCAGCATCTGCAGCCAACATGCTGCTTCCCATTGTTACTGAAAGTTATTGCTTTGCAAACTATTTCTATGAAGAATCAGACAATAAATATTTTAGGGATTGCAGGCCACATTGGTTTCATAGAATATGTTTTACAACCTATTAAAATGCAAAAAAAAAAAAAAATCCTTTCCTAGGTCTCAGGCCCTGGGCCCCAACTCACTGATCCCTGCTATAAATGAGCTATTCTTGTTTCTTGTGCATAGATCCCACAACACTCCAGGAGTCCCCTCATCTCACCCTTTGTCTTACTAGATCACTGCCATCAGCATACAAATATTGTGTTATTAAAAAAAAAAAATCACTTGACTTCACTCACCCTTCAAGCTACCACCCTGCTTTTATGCAGCCCCATTCCTTTATTGTTCCCACCCCCACCTATCTTTCCATTCTCTCTTAAACTAACTCTAATCAGGCCCACCACTGCAGAGAAAACTGTTTTTGGTAAATTCAACTTCCTCATGTCCGATCCACGGTCACTTTTCTGTCCTCATTTTCTTTGACCTGGTTTATCATCAGCATTGGACACCTTTATCTGTAGTCCACCTGTACTCTTTCCCTTGCATTCAAAGACACTGCATTCTTTTGGTTTTCCCATCTCACTGATCACTTCTCTCAGTCCTTTGCTGAGTTCCCCTCTTATCCCTAATCTTCCAATGATATGGAGTCTCAGACTCAGTTCTTCATTGTCTTCTTTAAAACTCATTCCTTTAATAATTCCATTTTAACCGAATCCCTCTTTCTACTCTTTCTCCAAAATCTCATAAATTCTCAACAGTTGAGAATAAAAGAATGTAATGTTATAGGTGGTTTGATCTCTTCAGATCCCTAAAATTTTCTCCATATCAGCATTAAGCCTATTTGATTACCATTCCTGTGTTCACTAGAGTAGCACTCTGAGTCTTCTTCAAGAACTTTTCCATTGTATTCACAACTTGGCTGACTAGCACACAAGGCCTAGCTTTCAGTCTGTTTCAGTTTTGACATACCTTCATCATGCTGCTTCATCCTTTCTAGCTTTCAATTTAAATCAAGAGACAGGAGACTCTTCCTTTCACTTGAATATTTAGAAGCCATTGTGTGTGGCTACCATGACTCTATTTCAAAGCTTAAGGCAACACACAAAACCCACACACAACAAAAAAACCTCCCAAAAAACCTAAAACAACCTACATGATCTATCTCTGCCATTATCCTAATTTCATGTTCCCCTCTCACATACACCAATCACATGGCCTCCTTGTTCCTTTTCAAATACTTCAAAAAGCTCCTTCCTTGAGGCCCAGGTCTGGCTCCTTTCTGCACCTACAAATTACTGCAGTGCCAATACTCTGACCTCCTCCAAGACCCTACCTAGTTTTCACCTTTCTCATGAAGCCTACTTTGACCACTATATTTATAATTGTGATCCCTCCTCTGTGGCATTCCAGATTAACTCATCCTGCTATCTACCTACCTCTCTATCTAGCTATGAATATATTTGCATGTACATAATTTAGTTCAATAAGAAGATTTATCTTTTCATTGCCAGTCTTTCCTCATTAACTTCACAAAGATAAGGACACTTATATACACTAATACATCCCAAGTACCAAGTACATGGTAAATATTCAAAAGTGTGTTATGTTCAGGAATACATGTCAATTTTCATTAATGTTAATAAATAGGTATTCTTTAAAATAGTATCTTTCTATTTCAATATACACTATACAGAACTTTAACATTATTTACAGAATGCTTTTGTCTTAAATGTAACATCTATACCCCAATTAAATTCTACTCTAGGGCTGGGGTATACAGCTCAGTGGCAATGTGTGGCAAGCATATATAGAGCCCTTGGTTTAATGCCTAGCACCCCAAAAAAAAGTCTCCTCTAGAAAATAAATCAAATTATAACTGACACTATCACTTCTAAAAGCTTTTTAAATATCCTTACCTACACTTGAACTATATTCAGAATGATGAAAAATATTCTCTAACCTGTAAAAAGAGCAACAAATTTATTTCTAATCTGATATTCATAGCTTATAACCATATAAGCTTAGATATATATGTATATGCTTATATATATTTATTGTTTATATCTTTACATGTACATAGAGATAATATAAACACTGTAACCACAAGAACCAGATTATATACACATACAAAAAAGTTAAACTCTCTGGTTCAAATGGAAAATATACAAGTTTAAGAGAATATCATAATATTCATCACTTAATTTGAAACACTCTATTCAACTTGCATAGAACATGTAAGATTTCAATGTTCCTTTGACAACTTTGTTGTCATAACTCAACTTTGGGAATAACACAATTTTAATTTAAAGTTCAAACTATTTTGTAGGCACTTCATTTTTGTAAAAATCATAGTTCATTTCCTTTTAGTTTCCACATTTAAATCTCACTATTTTCTTTGGGTCATTTCATATCTTAACAATTCATTTTTATCCCAGCAACTCTCAAGATTTTTAGCTGTATTTTATTCTTCATGTATTGTGCTACAGAATTCTAATTTTTCATTTAAATATTTACTACAACTCTTCCTCTCTCTCCAGAATTTATTTTATACTTTAATTCTATTCACACTCAATCATTGTTTTAAAGCAAACTCCTCTTATACTCAGAATTTTTAAATCTTCAAAATTAATAGGGCTGACATATTTAAAGGGTGGGGTTGGCAAATAAAATATAGGATGCCCAGTTAAATCTGAATTTTAGATAATTAACAAATAATTTTTGGCATAAGTATGACCATACAATATTTGGGACAAAACCACACACACACACACACACACACACACACACACACACACTTACACTAAAATTTTATTTGTTGTCTCTCTGAAATTCATGTGTAATTGGCAGTCCTGTATCTTTATATGCAAAAACTGATAATTCTATTGGGTACACACCATTATAAATCATCTAGGGCCAGTTATGACTTGTTGATACCCAAGTTATGCCAATTATTACATATTACAAATATCAACACTGAAAGTGACATTGATAATCAAATGATTCTTCGTATTTCCTCTTCTATTCTGTTATTAAAGGGCTTACTAAATACAATAATCGGCTTTAAAGGAAATCAGATAAAGTTGCCATCCATGTGGTTCCCTTTATCACTCAATCATGCAAAGAACAATACTATCATGCATGCACTGTTAGTAAATGATCTGTTTTATAATGCTGGCATTGTTATCCCAACAAACATTTATAAAGTACCAACTAAGTAAAAGTTCAGATAAACTATACAGAAAAAAGCAAAAGTATTTTTATATCTACAATTACACTTTCCTCTGGAAAAGTAAAAAGCAAGATTTATTATGCTGAACATAGGGACCTCCTGCCTTTATGTAGCATTTTCTTACATAAAATTAACTAAAAATGTTTTAGAAAAAGTGAAATAACTACACAAAACAAACTTATATGCTCAATAACAAATAATTAACTGCAGACAACAGTTCATACAGTCTCAAATCAGTCCCACTCAGCAAGTAGACAGCATTACAAAATAACCACTTATATGTTTGGACAGAAAGAAATTCCAGTTTAAAAATAAAAATTGTGAAGATCTTAAAATAAGTACTTACTTCAGGACCATTTGAAAAGAACTGTAGTTAAAAGTATATCCACCAATCACCCACATAAATTTCCCATGTAAAACTGCTTTATGTGAAGCCCGACCTACAGAAGGACTGAAGGGTTTAACATTTGGTAGAATCCAGTAAGACTCAGTAGAAGGAACATTGAAAGAGCAATCAGGACCTATTGAAGAAAAAAATCAAACAACACACTGGATTAACAAAGAACTGTGGTTATAGAATGAGATACAGATTATAAAAAACAGCAGACTGCACAGATTAAGAGAATTTAAGAATCTGATGTTCATCATCCTAACAAATGTAACTTATAACAATAAAAAGTCTGCAATATAATGTGCAAGGAAACTACTAACAGCAAATGTAATGCCTAGAGGGGACAAAAATCAGACATGAAGATGTTTAAATAAATAACACAATCAAAAAAAAGTTATTAAAATATATAAAATTTCAGATTTGCTTTAGTATACTAATAGAATTTAAATTGAAAAACAATATACTCATATTCTATTTCTGGCACTTACTAGCAGTGTGATCTTAAGCTAAACTGTTTACCTTTCATCGAGCCTTCATCCATTAAATTAAAATTACAATCTACTTCCAAGGGTTACCATAATTTTTTAAAATATGAAAATGAAAGTATTTGCAAATTATAAACTATTAAACAAATATAAAGATTATGTTTTTCTTAGCATCTTTTTTTTTTGGTACTGTGAATTGAACCTGGAACGCTTAACTACTGAGCCACATCCCCAGACCTTTTTATTTTGGGGCTAGGTCTCACTAAGTTGCATAGGGCCTCACTAAGTTGCTAAGACTAGCCTCAAACTTGTGATCCTCCTCCTGTCTCAGCCTCCCTAGTCACTGGGATTACAGGCATGAGCTACCATACCCAGCTTAGCTTCATTATTAACAATGCATATCCCCAAAGAAAAAAAATGATTATGTATACAAAAACCAAAACTATCAATTAGTATAGAATAATTTCAAATACTATAATTGAATATAACTGAGTTGAAAACATAGCTGTATCTTAATCCATATTCATAATGTTACCCAAGACTCCTGGTTTCCTCATCTATAAAATGTACATTAGCTTACTTAGTGTTTCTCAAAGTAAAAATAAAAATAACTACAATTAAATACAATGGAAAGAACACTCTTGAAGAAAATATATCTTCATCAAAAGTGAGCTCACGAATTATTTGAATGTGACTAAAATGTGCTAAAGAGTAGACATAAACTCACTGAGCTTCAACTTATTTTATAAAATATAAGATCCACTTAGTTTTATAAATTGTATACAAAAAACTTTTAAAAAGTAACAAAATTAACTTTCCAGGCATAACTTTGTTTTATTTCACTTTGCAGATATTTCCTATTTTACAAACTGAAAGTCTATGGCAAATCTGCATTGAGCAAGTCAATTTCAGTACCTTTTTTTCCCAATGTTATGTGCTCCCTTCATAGTTATGTCTCATTTTGGTAATACAATATTTCAAATTGTTTTCATTATATCTGTTATGGTGATGTGTAATCAATGATCTTTAATGTTACTATAAGTGTTTTGGGACACCCTAACTATACCCATGTCAGAATGCCAAGTTAACTAACAAATGTTATGTATGTTCTGACTGCTCCACTAAAAAGCCACTCTCCCATCTCTCTCCCTCCCCTCTGGCCTCCCTATTCCCTGATACAACAATAAGTCTATTAATAATACCACAATGGCCTCTAAATACTCAAGTAAAAGAAAGAGTCTAGTGTTTCTTAATTTAAATTGCAAGCTAGAAAGGATGAAGCAGCATGATGAAGGTATGTTAAAACTGAAACAGACTGAAAGCTAGGCCTCGTATGTTAATCATCCAAGTTGTGGATGCAAAGGAAAAGTTCTTGAAGAAGACTCAAAGTACTACTCTAGTGAACACAGGAATGGTAATCAAATAGGCTTAATGCTGATATGGAGAAAATTTTAAGGGTCTGAATAGATCAAACCACCCACAACATTCCTTTAAACCAATGCCTGATTCAGAATAAGGCCCTAATTCCATTCAATTCCATGAAGGCTGAGAGAAGTGAGGAAGCGACAAAGAAAAGTTTGGAACTGGTAGAAGGTAGTATATAAAGTTTTCTTAAACTATCTCTATAAAATAAGAGGGCCAGGTGAAGCAGCATGTCCTGGTGTAGAAGCTGCAGTAAATTTATCCAAAATAACTAGCTATGATAAAAGGAGAAGTCATTACCTAACTTCAAAGATTCAAAGAACAGGCTGACTCCTGCTAGGGGATAATGTAGCTGGTGACTTATAAGTTTAAACCAATGCTTACTTACCATTTCCAAAATGCTAGGACCCTTAAAATTTGAACTAATCTACTCTGCCTGTGCTTTATAAAATAGAACAACAAAGCCTAGATAATAGTAGATTGTTTACAACATGATTTACTGAACATGTTAAGCTTACTGTTAAAATGCTGCTGCAAAGGGAGGATCCAAGATGGCGGGCAAGAGGGAGGCAACACTCTGTGTTGCTCCATGACCTGGGACTCAAATAATGAGAACACTGCTTCTCCGCAAGCAATATTCCTGCTCCCGCAAGGGAATCACAGCCACAGTGCCATGGGCTCCAGGCCAAAGCATCGGAGTAGGTCTCCCTACAACTAGCCCACACAGGACTACCAGGTACCCCAGTGGGCACCATCAACACCCAAGCAGAACTTTTGGCCACCCACCAAAACCACTCCAATGCAGAACACCTGGCAGCTTCCCACATGCAAGAACTCCGGCCATCACACCCATGCAGACCCCAATCTACCAACATAGGGCTCCCCTGTCGCCACAATCTTGGGACTCTACAGCAACAGAGGTAGTCCCCCATGTGCAGTGGCCAGCCTGCACCCAGGAACTTCACATAGGCTCTGAAGTCAGCTGACAGCCACACACTGCAGGACACAAGAGCTCCTCTCTGAACTCATAGTCCAACAGCATCACTCAGCTGCCCCCACCACATACAAGCCGACAGCCCACTGCTGAAAGCAGGCGCTTCCATCTTGAGTCACCTTCATCTCCATCTTCAATGGGGGCAACACCTCTCTCCCCAGCAGCCACTACCCTGGCTTAGTGACACCCTGGTTACCTTCACCATCCTAAGGGCAGACATGGCAGCTAACAACAGACAATCCCACCAACTGGATAAGAAAGGAAGCAGGAAAGATCCGGATCTCCAACCAAAACAATCCTATTTCTTCCTTAAAGATTTTTTTTCCTCTCCTCTATTCTCCCGCGCTCACATTCCCAACATATGTGAAACCAAGCACTTTGCATGAATTAGGATTTTGAGGACTGAGACATCTAAATAGATATAATAATATCCTCTAAATATATATAATATATTAAAGTTGTATATTTTTTTTCTTTTATCCCACCAATTTCTATTTTAACACTTGCTTATTTTTTCCTAATATATATGTGTGCTTGTTTTATGTACTCTACTGTCTTCCCACTTACTTGTTTACCCAAAAGTACTTCCTCTCCCTTCTCCTGTTACTAATCTTCCTCTTTAGGTTTCTCTTTCACACTTCCAACAATATAACAACTCTACCTCCTCAGCATATCATCCTACTCCTCACCCTCAGTACTTTGTCCACCATCAGAAACTGTAAACTCTTTTACAAACCTGCTGAGGATATTGTAGATAATAATTGAATTCACCATTTCTGTATATATTGTGACCAAACTGTAAACATCTTAATAGCAAACATCTGTTTTTAAAGTGTATACTGTTTATATTGGGATCTGATAACATTGTCCTTCACCTCAAAGGAGAGGTACTGGATCCCTACAGGAGCACTATAAGCCTGTAGGGTAAAAACAGCAATGCCTCAGATCCACAGTGCTATAATGGAAGACAAAAAAGCAGTATGAAAAGACAAGGGAAGAGAGTGCCCCAAACATATCAAGATACCACCTTATTAGAATCCATGGGGAGCATAACAGAAGAAATTACAGAGAAGGAGTTCAGGATGTACATGATTAAAATGTTCTGCAAATTGAAGGATGATATAAGAGAGCAAATACAGGCAGCAAAAGATCATTTTGACAAAGAGCTACATAAACAAATACAGGAAGCAAAAGATTACTTCAATAGGGAGATAGAAGTTCAAAAAAAAATAGAAATCCTTGAAATGAAAGAAACAATAAACTAAATTAAAAGTTCAATTAAAAGCATCACCAACAGATTAGACCACTTGAAACACAAGAACTCTGACAAAATGTATAATTTGAAAAGAATGTAGACAACACAGTGAAAACAAGGGGAGAACATTCAAGAAATATGGGATAGCATAAAAAGACCAAACTTAAGAGTTATTGGAATACAGGAAGGAACAGAGTTCCAAACCAAAGGAATAAGCAATTTATTCAATGAAATAATATCAGAAAATTTTCCAAACATGAAGAATGAATTGGAAAACCAAATTCAAGAGGCTTACAGGACGCCAAATGTACAAAATCACATCAGATCCACACCAAGGCACATTATAATGAAAATGCCCAATGTACACAATAAGGAGAGAATATTAAAACCCACGAGAGACAGGAATCAGATTACATATGGGGGAAACCAATTAGATTATGTGCTGATTTTTCAACAAAGACCCTAAAAACTAAAAGATCCTGGAACAACATGTATCAAGCTCTGAAAGAAAATGTATGTCAACCAAGAATCTTATATCGAGCAAAATTAAGCTTTAGATTTGATGATGAAATAAAAACCTTCCATGATAAACAAAAGATATAAGAATTTACAACTTGAAAGCCCGCACTACAGAACATCCTTAGCAAAATATTCCATGAAGAACTGAAAATCAACAATGAAAATCAGCAAAGGGAGGAATTACACTAATCAAAGGAAAAACCATGGGCTGGGGTTATGGCTCAGCAGTAGAGCGCTTGCCTCGCACATGTGAGACCCTGGGTGTGGTTCCTCAACACCACATAAAAATAAATACGTGAAATAAAGGTATTGTGTCCAACTACAACTAAAAAATAAATATATAAAAAAAGAGAAACCAAGTTAAGTTAAATACCAAAAATAAACAAAAATGGATGAGAATACAAATCATGTTTCAATAATAACCCTGAATGTTAATGGCCTAAACTCACCAATCA